TTAACCAAAAGCATYGACAGATGCCACAATCGTTCCACGCGCGCCCACAGTCTGCTTTCAAGCGCTCTATTTGAATGTCTGTTGCTGACTCGCTTTGCTGTTCGAYGAAAATAGCAACGGGCGTGTGCCCATCCGCTGTTGTGGTTTCTGGAATTCGTAAATTTTTACAGTGCAGCAATAATATTTGTTACCGTTTTCAGTATTGTTCTCATTTCAATTTAAATATTCTTCTCAGAGTGTCTTTAGGGACCTCACTCTGTCTACCGAATTCCAAAAGATNTTGTTACCGTTTTCAGTATTGTTCTCATTTCAATTTAAATATTCTTCTCAGAGTGTCTTTAGGGACCTCACTCTGTCTACCGAATTCCAAAAGATCTTCCAAATAAGATACATCGCTTTTGTCCAATCGTCAGAGACTGAAGGGTACCGGGTGAAAGTGAGGTTACTATTTGGTAGGGATAGATAATATTTTTTCATTATTTTAGGTTGGTCATTGAAGACGTTAGTTAATGAATCCCTCAATGAAGATACACCAAGTATTTGGAACGCTGGTATAGCAATGGAAGTCTTGCTACCACTTACCATTACCAAAAAAGCTCCAAAAAATCAGCGATTTCATTTTAAAATGTAACAGTAAACCTATTTTTGTGACAAAAAAGTGCCCTCGAATTGTAAATAAAACACAAAATACTTAATTATTCATTAATGTTTATTTTGTCGCCTTGAAAGTAATCAATACCAGATGTAACACACTTATGTCATCGAATTTTGTAATCCTCGAAATACTGTTCATAACCGCCTTTTAGGATGACCTTCAGCTCCTTAAGGGTATTTTATTTTATCTCTTCGATTGATTCTTCGAAAATGGGTTTCACGGGGCGGAAATTTTAGTTTGGGGAACAAAACTACACGGAACCAAATCTAATGAAAACGGTATTTGATCGATAGTGCTCATTGCGTTTTTGGCTTTAAATTCCTTCAAAATTGTGGCTCGATAAAATCCATGAATTGTTTTCCACAATCCCGGCCGTTTTCGAAGAATGTTTTCACGGAAACGTCGCCGCTTGATTTTTGAGTGGCTTTGGAGTGGTTTTCTTGGTTTCGGCTCGTTTTGTCCCTCCATTCCGATGATTGTCGTCTTGTTTGCATGCCTTATTCGTCAGTTATAGTGCTCTCCATAAATGTGGGATCGGAATTCGCACGATCAAGCAGGTCCAATGAGACCTGTTTACGGTACTCTTTTTGAAAAAATTCAGCTTCATCATTTCGATTTTCTAACACTCGTCTGAAGATTTTTAAGCACCATATCCTTCGCTTTTTTAATGTTTACCAAGTCAAAATTTAATAAATAAATGCTCACCTGTAAGCAAAATGCGAGTCCTGATATTAAGCAAATTCTATGTTATGCANGCTCACCTGTAAGCAAAATGCGAGTCCTGATATTAAGCAAATTCTATGTTATGCACAGTTGTTAAAATCTCGATGAGTCTTTTTTCTAAAAAGATACTCTAAAAGTCCTATTATGGCCACACCTCTCCAAAAAACAGAACATCAGTTTTCGMAACTATTTTTCGGAGTACCGAAAGGCTTAAAAGTAGTTTATTCAACCGTCTCATGTTGTGTATAATGTTGTCTAAAAACTATTGTTATATCCTTCTCTAAAATTTCCTTTAGCAAAACTTGTATTCGTGAGAATAGGTACATATGCCTTCCTGAAAACGGCAGTAAAAAAAAGGGTTTATCCTTACTTATTCTGTAATATTTAAATAATACTTATAATAGATTAGATCATAGGGTGGTTCCTCGCACCAAAGGCCAGACCAGACCCTATAGATAGACGAAACGCTTTCAGCCTAATACCAATTTGTTAAGTAGTTAGGGGTAGTCAGAATTTTCAAAAAAAAAAAWTTTTTTTTMKCATTTTCGTTAAGTGYAATATCTTAAAAATATTATCTGAAATCCGATAATTAGTTTTTGAGTTATTCGACAAATAGCAAAGAGAGCTCGGGCACTTCAAAGCGCTAATGTGACACTTTAAGGTAAATGACAGGTGGTGTTTTCTGTTGGGATTACGCTACCAGACTATGACTACGTTGATATAATAAATATACTGCTACGAAGTGCAGCCTCCTTCCATAGCAGAGTTGCACTGCGGAATCGCAGTAATCAAAGCAGTTGCGCTGCTARGAAGGATAGGTTTATCCAGATTTTCCCAGATTGGCAACGAATCGGTACTTCGTTGTCCCCTTGTGCTCCAGCGTTGGATCTGTAGACTTTCCGTGAGCTTGAAAAACACTGAACCATATGGGAAGACAAGAAGTCCTCTTTAATTATGTATATACTTGCTCTTAGCAAAGTTAATCTCGTCGCTATGAGACGTTCTGGCTGGACATTGCCCAATAATATGTGAAAATGTCATAACTTTTCGATTGCATATGTATGACCAAAGCTGTATGGAAGAAGGCGAGTAAGAAATACCTACACACTGTCATCTCATCTGTCCAGCTTTTGCCAGACTGAGATTGAAACATATCGGTAGACACACTTTCTCAAACCTGGCGAAGTTTTTGACAATGATATTAGGCACCTTAAGGGGTTAGGGGTAGTCAGAGGCACGAAAAAATTACAATTTTCAGTATTTTTTTTTTTTTTT